ATATAAGTACGAATCTATTCAGTTAGCTGTCCAAAACAATTGAATCAGGCACTAGGAAATGGAATCCTAGAATGGCACCACGTAAGGTTTTGAAGCCGAGTCTTTCCTATATAATAATAAAATAGTACAATAGCTTTATAATATATTACTAAATTACTTTAGTACTATAGATTTATATAATCCTAGATACCATATAAAGCTATAGTACTATTGTATTACTATAACACAATAGCTTTGAGAGTGATGAAAATGCATCTCGTTGGCTCCAGTGATCAGAATCAGGATCTTAATTCTGGCAGTGACTCAGTTTTGCTCTCACATGAAGAATTCATTAAGCTAATCAAGAATGGTCAACATCCATCTAGTCAACCCTCCTCTTCCATTGCCACTCTAGCAAATACATGTACTTCTGAATTTCTTGCATCAAAAGCCATCTCCCTGGATCATTGATTCAGGAGCCTCTGATCATACGATATATACTTTCTTCTTCCATCGTAAAAAACAAAAGCATGAGTATGACACATAAAAACTAGCTAAGAATCAATACCTAATTATTCTATATCCTAAACTCATCAAATTCCTGCTGTTAAAAGTCTTCATTATGTGCAATACAAAAGAGAAAGACAAACTTGGAATTTTTTGATACAAAGTGATACCAAGACATTCTGAGTCTTTGACATAAAGCAGACGTGTTATTATGTGTTTATAGAAGTCAACATATCTAGACATTTCAATTACAGTTGTTAGGATTAGGAGCAAGATTGGGATATATGATATATTAGATACTGAGATCCTTAAATGCTAGGGATGTCAAGCTTTTGGGAATCTCGATTCTGAGCTTTTTGGGATCTCAAGCTTTTGGGAATCTCGATTCTGAGCTTTTTGGGATCTCAAGCTTTTGGGAATCTCGATTTTGACCTTTTGACAATCTTGTTCTCAATCCAAAAAAATATTTATAATCTAGGAGCATACATATTCTTTAAAGTAGGGATCTCTTAATTTATAGCCAGCAAGCAATGCAACTATATTAAGAGTATAATTGCATTGCTAGCTGGCTATAAATAAAGAAAATCATCAAGTTGATTGTTACCTTAATCTTTAACTTGCGGATCGAGATCCTAGAGTGGATCGAGATCCCAAATTTAAAAATCAAGATCCCTTAAGTAACCCTTTCCTAGAGAGCTAAAACAAGATTTCGAAGTAGGATCGTAGCCTAAGTTAGTGATGCTGGACAAAATTATTCTCATTTTAATTTTTATTTAATTTCAAATGATAACTCCTCCATGGCAGGCCCCCTGCCAATCAATGCCGGTCCCAAGCTCGAGAAAAGGACGATGATTGTGTTAGGTAGGCAGCTAGGATAAAATTTTGCCACAACTTTCCATGAATCTTGAATCTATGAATGATGATGATTTAATTTCAAATGATTTATATTTCAATTTTAATTTTAGGGTTAATTTTTAGGTTTTTATTTTTTTAGGCTTACTAGGGATTTTTATATTTTTAGGAGTTGTTTAAAATAGTACTTGGAGTGTTTATGGAA